AAATGGCTGGTAGGTTGGACGAATGGATGAATTAATTGCCTGGACTAACAATGAGAGGGCGGATGGGTGGTGGTTTGATGAATGAAAGAATAGATTTTTCTACCAATGCCCTGAAATGGCACCCTCTGGTGGACAGAAGCTCCTACTTGTCCAAGGGACTGAAGACTCCATTGGGATTCCCCTGCCTCTATTGGAGAATTTTGTTTTGTTTTCACCTTTTCCAAATATTTATCACTAAGAAATGAGAATGTTGATGAGCAAGTAGTCTTAGTGGCAAGACATTTTGTAAGGGTCGCTCGACAACTTGGTACACACTAATATTAATTTCTATTTATAGTTACTAAGTCATAAATGTCTTACATGTCCAATATCTTTATTCATCCACTGTATTAGAGGGTGCAGAGCCCTGGAGGCACGGTGGCACATTGGGCTGGTAACTAAAAGTTCGGTCATTCAACCCCACCAGCTGCTCTGATGCCACGCTGACTCCAGGACTCTGGAGCTGCAGGTACTTTGTGCTCCTTGTTTAAATCTTGTAACTCTGTTGGAATTCATGATAAACTGGCAAACTTTTGATGTTTCTCTTTAGAAATCAGAAACTAACCCATCTCCCTTTGAAGGACAGAACTTGTTAACAAAACCTGCAGGTGAATAGGAGACAAGTCACTGTGAGCAGAGAGAACAATCTGAGCAGCAGGCATCCTGTTTCAAGCCTGATCACATGATGCTGTTGATGGCTCCAGACCGATAGAGGAGGTGAAAGAGTTAGTTCGTTGCTAATCAAACTACTAGAAAATTGCTTCTAAACTTAATCAGTAGTGATGCTAACTCAGGAAGGAGGCAAGCAATGGAACATGAGATCTCAGGGGTAGTGGTCTGACAACCCCTGGAGAAATATAGATGTCAATTAGTGGTCTGTAACCCCCTGGAGAAATACGAGGGGGACTCAAAAAAAAAACAAAAAAACAGAAAAAGCTTCCCTAGGCAGAGCTTTCATAGTACGCCTTTTTCCCACTAGGTGAGCATCAAGCAACTCGGTCTGAGTTAGTGCACTCAGTGGCGTTGCCTGGGAAGGTTCTCTCTGGTCACAGTGAATTTTTTCATAAGAGCAGTTTTATTCGAACCTCATTTTTTGTGATGGCCAATTTAAGAGAACAGCATGAGGCTGTGAAATTTTGTTTCCTGCTCTGGAAAAATGCTGCAGAAACTGTTGTGATGTTGAACACAGTTTCTAAGGATAGTGCAATGAGGAAAATTCAAGTGTATGAGTGGTTTCTGGTTTCAAAAAAGGTGAAATGTCAATTGATGACAAACCTTGTTCTGGAATGAAAATGTTGACACGTAGTGCATTTTGATTTTGTTCCACCAAGCTTTCTATTTAGAAGGTCTAAAAAGATTGCATAACAGTATGTGCCAAGAAAGGCCTGATTTGTGGCAGATGGAGAACTGGTTTCGTCACCAGGACAATGCCCCTTGCTCACGTAGCCAGGTCAGTGCACCAGTTTGGGGAATAAAACAGCATGCCTCTTGCCCATGCATCTGACTCACCTGACCTTGCTCCATGCAACTTCTTTTTGCTTCCTCAAATGAAGAGGGACATGAAAGGAGTGATTTGACGACATAGAAGAGGTGAAGAATAAAACGACGTAGGTGCTGTCAGCCATCCAAACAGATGCGTTTGAAGAATGTTTTCAAGAATGGAATCACAGATTTGACAAATGTATTAAGTGTAATGGAGAATATTTTGAAGGTGATAAGGTTTTTTTGTAAAAAAAAAAAATTACATAACTTTGGAAAACAAAAGCCCATTTGTGTGTGTGTTGGTTTGGTTTGGTTTTTGGTACCCCTTCATATATAGTTTCCTGTGAAAACCTGTTTCTATTGTCACATTGTTTGGGGTCCTCTCATCATTGCAAAATCTGGTAATTATTTCCTGGGAAATGGTAAAACCTATTTTTAGTACTTAGTTTAAGGTATATAACTTGCTTGATTTTCACTGAATGTTGGGAATAGTTTGGAGGTAGCAAACCCCACTGTTTCCTTTTGTCTATCACTTGAAGAAATAAACAAGTTTCTCAAATCAGCTTGGTCTCTGTCTTTGACTGAAACAGTGATGGCGGATCCAGGACCTTGTTTCTCGGCAACAAGATGACATCCTTCACCAAGATTATCGGCTTTCTCCTGAACTTTCATTCTTTCCTGAAACCTCCACATCACCACCACCACCACCTTTTCCTTGCCTATAAAACACATCTTAACCTGTTGCTCTGGCTTGGTCAGATTTGAACCATTCTGCTCCTTAAAAGTCAATGATCAATCAATCATTAGTCTTGTGAGTTGGCTTACTCAAGACAGGCTGCCTGAATCACCTGCTTCTGTGATCAGCTCCACAGGAGAGAGAGGAGACTCTGCTCCCCTAAAGATTTACAGTCTGGGGAAAACTGTTCAGAGACAGTGCACCACTGATTTCTAGAGTGGCTATGTGTAGAGATCAACTTGGTGGCAGTGAGAGGATGTACTACAACAGTGGTTCTCAACCTTCTACTGCTGTGACCCTTTCATACAGCTCCTCATGTTGTGGTGAGCCCCCAACCATGAAATTACTGTCGTTGCTCCTTCATCACTGTCATTTTGCTACTGTTATGAATCGGGTGACCCCTGTGAAAGGGTCGTTCGGCCCCCAAAGGGGTCGTGACCCACAAGCTGAGAACTGCTGTACTAGAGGGTCAATTGAAAGGGGGGGGGGGGGTTGTTGTTTTTAAATCAATATCCCTCAACCTTCAACTTGATCCCGACTCACAGTGAACCGATAGGACAGAGTAGAACTGCCCCCACAGGGACCCCTGGTCTGTAATCTTTACCGGAGCAGGTCACCAGGTCTCCCTCTCAGGGAGCCACTAGGAGATTCGAACTGCCATCCCTCTAGTTCACGCCAGCAGCCACCTCATTCAGCACCCAGGTTCCTTGGAACTTGCAGGAAGTCTTTCAAGAAAAGGCTGGGAGGGCATCAGGAAGCTCCTGCAGATGTTCTCCATTGATGGCGCCTTTGCAGTGGATCCCTGGAGATGGAGCGCAGGCGCACGCATTCTTCAAGCCCCCCAGGAGACTCCAATGTGCAGCTCAGGAGAATGGCGGCTTTAACCCATGCGCCCTCTAGACGGACAAAAAGGCTAGTGGTGCTAACCTGAGGGAGCTGTGTCCCTCCGTCTGGCTTGAAACCCATCAGTGTCCTCATTCTGGTCCCCCTCTCCCAATCATCTCCCCCTTGGCACGTGCTGGAGGAGTGTAGTCGGTGACCTGTCTGCCTGAGGGCATGGGCAGGTTCCAGTGGACTGCACCGTGTTATCTTGTGAAAAGCTAGAACTCCCTACTCATGAGCTTTGGACACCACATCTGCACCTCCAAGGAGTTTTAGGAGCTGCGAAAAGCAATCGTTTCACTATAGCTCAAGGAACAAAGGATTTCAAACCATCCTGAACACGCAGCAGCCCTGCCTGTGAGCTATGAGCCTCCATCAGTGGTCATGCCTCTCCTTCCACCAATGAACTTGCTCCTCTAATGCTTTTGTACAGAACAACTGTTACCACAGCAAATACAAGCACAGACAAACCCAGTGACATTGTGCTGTGTCACTTTCTCAGGAGCTCTCTACAGCCGAGGTTCTTTTTCTTGGGTGCTGGCGATCTGTGACGCGTGGTGATCCCGTGTGACCCAGGAGATCTGCCCCACAGGAACCCACCAGCAGCTCCCTGGGAGAGAGATGAGCGCCTCGCGACTCCTACTAAGCTCCACGGCCCCAGAAACCACAGGGGCACGTCTACCCTGCCGTGCACGGTCACTAAGTCAGAATCAACTCGAGGGGAACGTGGTCTCTGGATGCAGGCACACTTCACCGGTCTCTGGAAAACAGTGTCTACCAAAACCATAGTAATGTGCTTATATTATTGATGCAGGCACACTTCACCGGTCT